CTAACTATTCACGAGAACTGCTGCCGACAATCTGCATCACAGTTGGGCAGAGAATAATTTATGTTATTGTACTTTATGACTGGATTAAATAAATTAAAAAAAATACATTTACTTTTTTTATTATTCAACAGTAAATTGTTAGCACTAAACCAATGTAATTAAATGATAACACACTCTGGTAATGAACTGATCGCTCCAGGCTCTTTCAATCAGACTCCTTATATTGTATTTTTAATGAATTCATGTCAAACTGCCTATATTACATAAAAAAATTAAAAAAAAAAGCACGCTGAGTTTCTTTCGCCGGTTTTTCTCAATACAGTGACTTTCTTTTCCGAACCGGTGGTAGTGTTTTGACTATCAATAAAGAAATTGATTTTGATTTAGGCTCGCTCATCCATGTTCAATATATCATTCCGCTCGCAGCAGTCGAGACGAACGCACGCCTTGGCACGCGCTCTCTCTACTCTGCTACTCCCCACCCCTGTCCGCTTCCGCGTGCCGACTCGCTCGCCGCGGACGCTCAGTCGTCGCGCACCGCGCGCCGCGTTCACTCGTAATTTTTATTACGAGTGGGCACCCTGCTCGCAAGTTGAGTTGCGAGGTGCAGTTCTAACTGCGCCGACCAACACGCTTAGCAGCGGTTCTGTTTCGACGTCTTAGGGCTAGTGGATACCTAACGGTGATAACGAAACTAGCCAAGGCTTGCCCCGATCGCCTTGCGGTTCTCTCCTGAGAACCGCGAATCTTCGGAAGGGACCACCGTCACTGGCCTTGGGTGTAGTCCCTAGTCAGCGGTGGTCCACGTTTGGCCTTTTAGCGCCCTCGGGTAGTTCTAATTAGCTATAAGTACACACCCGTGTGTACAATAAGATCGGCACAAGGACGCACTAGGGCCACACAAATTAGGCACTCATACTCCCTGCCTATACCCGGCAGGGAGGGATACGGGCACACACCCCGGCATCCCACCGGGTTAAACTGCATTTAATAAGATAACGTCCCAGTCGAGATGGCCCACCCGGAGGGAATGCTCGACTTCCTGATGGAAAAATATCCGGAATTATATAGGAAAGTCGTCGAAGAAATGACGAATTCGTCAAGACCCTCCTCAAGGGCATCCTCTGAAAGCGCCGAAGCGAACTCCTCCTCCTCGCAAGAGGAAATGGAGCTCGATTCGCCGCTCTCCCCCGACACCGATGAAGGCGGCTTGTTCACCCAAGTGGTGAACAAGAAGACGCGCAAAAAGCGCTCTTCGCAGCCGTCCTCAGCGGCTCCGTCCCCCGTTCCGCCAGTCAAGGCGCCAAGGCCGACCGAATCGGCCACAGCCGGGCCCTCAACGCCCACTCCCCCGACCCCATCGCCTTCAGCGATTCAACCCACCCCGGTTGCCTCACAAGCAACCCCCGCGCCTCCCGCAGGCCCCCGTGCGCCGCAGGACAAGCGCCTTCCACCCCTCTTCATCAGGGACACTGACAAGTGGCCCATGATAGCATCAGCCCTATCTAACAGGCTGAAATTCATTGCTACAACGACCGCACAAGGTATCAAGCTTCAGCTTGAAACCGCTGACGCCCACCGCCAAGTCTCTAAATTCCTTAGGGACAAACAAATCTTCTACCATACTTACACGCTGGCCGAGGACCGTACCCTCCGCGCCGTAATTAAACGCATTCCCGCCAACATTCCCACCGAAACGGTTTTAGAATCTCTTAAAGAGCAAAACCTCCCCGTCCATGCGGTCCACCGCATGAAAAGTAAAAGAAAGCGCAGCCCTATTGACATGGTCATGGTCCATTTAGACCTCTCTCCCGAGGGGAATTCTATCTTCAATATTGAATCAGTCATGGGACTGACCAATATTGTTATTGAACCTCCGCACAAGGCCACCCTCCCGGGACAGTGCCACAAGTGCCAGAATTACGGGCACGCCGCCCGTAACTGTTTTGCCAAGCCCAGGTGCGTAAAGTGCCTAGGCGACCACGGCACCCCGGAATGTCCCACACCAAGGGACAAGGCCCTTCTGGCCAACTACGGTCCACCCGCATGCGTCCTCTGCCAGTCGGAAGGACACACAGCCAACTATCTTGGCTGCTCGAACGCACCTAAACGCAGACCCATTAAGCCCGCCCCTCAGGCAACAAGAAGGCAGCCGATTCCAACGGCCGCCTCTTTCCCTCCTCTTCGCCCCGCGTGGCAGAACCCCATGGCCCCCGCTTGGGCCAAACCGAATCCGCCACTCGCGGAACCCAGAGCTGCCCCTCAACCGGCGCTCATCCCAACACCACCAAAAGCGGCCGGGGGCAACCCCCTGGACTCGCTAAGTCAACTCCTCCGAACCGTCGACATGGCGGAGGTAATGTACTTTGCCGAGCAGTATGCCAAAGGCAACTTCAGCTCGCGATTACTCCTAGACCAGTACCAGCACATAGTTGCTGCGCTCTCAGTTTAAACCGAACATGGATAGTACAACTAGAAGCAATAATAACGAAAATATTAGTCCCTCTGCCACGCGTAATAACGGCAGAGTCAAACCGCGATCGATTAATGTAGCATTCTACAACGCGAACGGGCTTAAAGAGCAACGCGACGAAATACGTATTTTCTTACGCGACCATCAAATAGATATACTACTAATTCAGGAGACGTTCCTGAAACCCGCGACAAGGGATCCGCACATCCCCAACTATCGGATAGTTAGAAACGACCGTGCCGGCGCCCCGGGCGGCGGCACACTAATTTACTATAAAAAATCCCTCCACTGCGTACCGGTAGACACGCCCGCGCTCACGCATCTCGAGGCATCCGTCTGTCAACTGGCACTAACTGGCCACTCTCCCATCACTCTAGTATCAGTCTATCTCCCTTGCAGACCAACCGCAACTATATTGCAATCCGATTTTGAGGCCCTCTTCTCCATAGGAGGAGCCACCATATTAGCTGGCGACTTCAACAGCAAGCATATCCGATGGAACTCAACACGCACCAACAGTCGAGGCACCGCACTCGACTCGCTATCCGACAGGCTCGACTTTGAAGTTGTAGCCCCAGTCGAACATACGCACTTCCCTTATATAGAGGGACAATCATCGGATGTGCTTGATATTGCAGTCCTCAAAAACATCAATCTGACCATGCGCGACCCGGAAGTGATTCACGAGCTTCACTCTGATCACCGACCAGTCCTCCTTCGGCTAGGGCCCTCAGCAATAGCCGCCCCCCAAACCAAAACAGTCATTAGCTGGCATAGAGTCAAAACTAAACTTAATGAGCCCAATTCAATATTAGAGTCGATCCCCGACCAACTGAACAACAAACAGGACACGGAGACCGCAATTCGGGCCCTCACGAGTCACGTCAACACCGTCGTCGAGCAATGCTCGAGACAGGTTCCAGCGATGGACGACCATCGCTGGGCCCTGCCAGACGATGTACAAGACTTACTGAGGCGCAAGAATGCGGCCACACGCGCCTACGATAGATATCCCACCGACTCGAATCATAGACTGCTACGTAAATTACAACGTGAAGTCAAAACACGTATAGCAGACTCACGAAACGAACGGTGGGACTCCACCTTAGTCTCTATAAAACCATCCCACCAAGCCTTTTGGAAACTTCCTAAAACCCTCAAGGGTATAGCCACTCCAAACATGCCACCACTATTTCGCCCGATAGGAACGCCAGCAATGCTGGACGAAGAGAAAGCCGAATGCCTAGCTGACAGCCTAGAGGCCCAATGCTCCCCCAGCTTGCTTCCGACCCACCCCGATCACCTCCGTAAGGTGAACGAAGAGGTCGAAAGGAAAGCATCGGAACCACTCCGCGATCCCGTTCCCCCGGTCACGTGTTCGGACCTCGCAGAAACAATAAACAAACTGCGCCCACGCAAAGCGCCTGGCTCAGATGGTATCACCAATAAGGTGACCAAACTTCTCCCTACTAGCATCCTTCAGATACTAGTCTTAATTTACAACGCGGCTATAACCGAAGGCTTCTTCCCGTCCGAGTGGAAAGAAGCTGACGTAATAGGGTTCCTCAAACCCCACAAACCCGCGACCCTTCCAACCTCTTATCGTCCAATAAGTCTTCTCAAAACATTTGGGAAGATCTTTGAAAGACTAATACTAGCCCGACTAAGATCCCTTATGGACGCCAAAGGGCTCCCCATCCCTGAACAGTTTGGCTTTAGAGCCAAACATTTTTGTACCCATCAAGTGCACCGCATCACGGAGCACATACTAGTCAAACGCCAACGCGGACTCAACACCGGAGCACTCTTCTTAGACGTGGCAAAGGCCTTCGATAAAGTCTGGCACAACGGGCTCGTATACAAGTTATACGGGTTCGGAGTACCCGATCGTCTCGTATGCATAATACGAGACTTCCTAAGTAATCGGACCTTTCGTTATCGCGTCGAAGGCGTGTGTTCGACAACGCATCCCGTTCGAGCCGGGGTGCCACAAGGGTCGGTGTTGGGCCCAGTCCTTTTTACGCTCTACACCAATGACATGCTGCGAGTCAAAGATGTAGAACTTGCCCTATTTGCCGACGACACCTGTCTCTATGCAGCAGGCAGAACATCCGAAATTATCCATCGACGCCTCCAAGCTGCAGCCATCACCATCGGTGACTGGTTTCGGCAATGGAGGATCGAAATCAATCCCGCCAAGAGCGCGGCCGTCCTTTTTTCGCATAAAAACGTAGATAAACCACCCCCCGTTAAACTCATGGATAGTCCGGTACCATGGGTGAACAAAGTTAAATTGCGCAGAGCCACGGGAGCACCCTGGTACATGCGCAATATCGACCTTCATGTCGATTTAGAGTTGCCCACCATCGCTCAATTCCTGAAGTCGGCGTCGCGCCGATACTTCGATTCCGCCGCCGCGCGCATCCCAACCCGCTAATCGTAGGTGCCGCCACCTACAGACCCCTGCCGCTAGGTACGTTTCGCCGCAATCACCGTAGACCGCGACACGTTCTCGATTTCCCTGACGATGAGACGACTATCGCCATCGAAAGGATTAAAAAACTTCGCAAACACACCAACACAAACCGCACTCGCCGGCGAGTGCGGCAAACATATACTAGGTTCCGCCACGTACCTGGCAGGTTCTCCCCAGTTCAAGATAGAAGCGTTGCTGGAGTTTCTTCCGCCACTTCTTCTCCCAGCGCCAACGCTTTACGAAGTGGTAGTAACGATAGCTCTAGAGATCCCCCCAGTCAGATAACAGCTACCGATCGAGCCGAGGTCCGGCCCTCTCGGGCACCCTCGAATCGGAATGCTAAACGCGTGTTGAGTGACAGCCCAAGCCCTCTCGGGGACCCTTGAGCCTGATCACTCCATGGAGCCCCCGCCAAAGCGCCCTAAGAGCTAGGCGGCCTCCCAAACCGGTGAATTAAATAGCGTGACGGCCCGAGCCGAGGTTCCTCGGGAGCCCTCGAGCTTAGTCACCATAACGCGTAATAATAAATACGCGAGGTTCAGGCTAGGCGCCTCGAGCGCCCGGCCACCTCAAGCCCGTCGGAACTGTAAAGGCCCCTAAGGCCAACAGTGGCTCATCAAGCCCAAAAAAAAAAAAAAAAAGTTCAATATATTTTTTTTTTTCATATCTCTCAAAGATAACATGTTTCGTAACGACTGAAACAACTGAGTCAACAAAATGCAAGGAAAGCGATAAAATGTTCACGAGGAGGTTAAATAAACTCAATAATAAACTTTATTTTTATTAACCGATAAAATATTTAGCAGCTTCCCACTATTTCTTGATACAAATATGCGTAGTTAGAGTGTGTGTAACGAGGTAGGGCTTAAATGACTGGTACAGCGTTTATATTTCTGTACCTCAGAGGTAAACAGCTTTATGCGAAAAAACAAACATTTTACAAGAGAAACAAAAAAGCATGGAGTGAATCATTGAACCGGTATTGATTATGATGTCATATACGATTGGATATTTTATTAATTAAGCGTCGTTGGAGTTAATGCTTAATACTTTTGAGCAGAATTTGCTCTTGCGATTTTAATAGTGTAAGATTTACAACGTTGAAAAATGTATAGTTACTATTGTATGCCTCTGAGGTACAGATTTACTATAATAACCAGGAGGACCTTTAATTTATACACGATAATCACTTTTCAATCATTTGGCAAATCCTTTCATGTGTAATACGCTCTTGTGTGCTCCTATCGCCTTAAATTAACCACGACACTCGCGTAATATGTGCAATTAATTTCGTAGACGCCGTTCTAATTCCAAATGACTTAATAGATCCGAGTGAAATTGATGTTAAGTGGATTAGGCCATATAATTGTACCAGTGTGTTTGAGTGTTGGTCTAGTGACTTGGGACGTTGTCTTGCAATGTGACGTCATGGAATCGAAACCCACCTACCCTGTATACCAGTTTTAGTGTCGTATATATTAAACTCACTGTCTTCCAATCCGTGAGTTTTCTTATTCAACTTTCGTCGCCACACAATACTTTTTACTGTTGCATGAATGTGTCGTGTCGTCCAGAACGACTAACTAGACTGCCTCCTAGAAGCCCGCCGTAAAATAGAATTATTTATTATCTGTATTTGGACTCGATGTGTTACCAGCGCCAAACCTCTCAACAGTTGGCAAAAACGAGCGAGTATTTTAAAAGAGCTTGAGCGCTGGAGTAACTCAACACCCGGTGAACCTTATTTGCAAGTTATCTTCTTCCATAATATTTTTTATCGATAGACGATGACAAGCTTACGATCAGTCTCGTTTGGGCCTTAATAAATCCGCTGTAACAAAAACCTTTTTGTTAACTCCATTAGCCTTAAAAGTCTTAAGAGCTTGTAATTTCGCAATGTCATTTAATTTATTGAATACATAAGAATGCTAAGATTAATTGGATTTAGTTTAGGTATAAAATATACTTAAAATATATGAGAGTTGAATAGTTTTAGCCTTAGTAGGCTAGACACTCGTTTATCATACTTTGCTATTTACATTTAATTTTGTAAGTACATGGACAGACATTTCAGATTTGCTTTAATAAAATAGCTATTACTGTCTGACCCAGTTCTATTATATTGGCCATTGTGCGCTGTGAAGGTCAAAATATATTAATTACTCGTACATATAATGATCCAACTTTGATAAAAAATTATGAATTGTGACATTAAAATTAAAACCAAAATTTGATTCATAAAACTATATACGCTCCATCAATTCTATTTTGTCTGTGTAATGTCTGTGTATTTGTATAGATTGAACGGATATATTACTTCAAATCTCCCTCGATTCTATTACCCCACTAAGAATTGCTTAGCACAAAGCGGTCTCGTGAACATTCTAGAACGTTCTAGAACGTTGAGCACTGCCCCTACCACACCGCTTGTGCAAAGTTAGATCCAAGCTTCATTACGAGTGCTGCGTTCCGTCCCGAGAACTAAACTAATTTACGTTAAACGCCGTAGGCACTTGCAGAATACGTTTATTAAGCTCAAATTGAATAATGCCAGTTTCCAATGTCGGGGTTCCACTGGGGAGTTGCCTGGTTCCACTTGTTTTTGGCTGCTAGTTAGCGTTTACGCTAATTGTGACCGAAACTTAACTAGTTCTGCCGTGACTTGGAACTGAAAAGTGCGGTCTATGGAGTTTTTAGCCAACGTAAATACCTACTGCGCGATCACTAGATAGAATTTTTAATGAGCACAGTTAACTATTCAGATAAGAGCTATATTGTTATTTATTTTGTTTCAAGTAGACTTTTATATAATTAATTAAATTTGACGATCTGATTGGCTTAGTGGGTAGTGAAACTGCCTCTTGCGCTAGAAGGTGTGGGTTCGATCCCCACTACTGGCAAATATTGTGCGATGAACATAGTGCTTTTCCAGTATATATGTATAAATAAATAAATAAATAAATATTTTAGGACACATTTTTTTTACACAACCTTCTCTAGTCCCAAACTAAGCAACGCTTGTACTATGGGTACTATAAAACTGATAGACATACTTAAACATACTTTTCTTTTGTAAATAAATACATATTATACATATATAAACACCCAGACACTAGAAAAACACTATGCTCATCACACAATATTTTTCCAGTAGTGGGGATCGAACCCACACCCTCTGGCGCAGAAGACAGGTACACTACCGACTGCGCCATTCGGGTCGTCAAAATGTATTAAATTAAATAAATGTATTTCTTTACAAAAGAAAAGTATGTTTATCAGTTATCTAGTACCCCTATGGGTGGTATTGTACTATTACAAGCATTACTTAGTTTGGGACTAGAGAACGTTGTGTAAAAGTGCGTTCTATATATTTTTTATTATTTATTTAAGATGACATAGACTTTTTATATTTAATAAATAGTTATTCTTTATCGATTTAAATTCTCAACCTATATTTAATTTATTGCCTCTTTATATAGTGTAACAATATATTTATCGCCCAAACTCATAATAACAAATAAATATTTGATACCAAATTTAAACCAATATAAACGTAACACTGACAGGTCGGGGAAAATATTTATTTTAATAATTACTGCCTTGTTACTTTAATACACCTTACGAAAAATGAAGTATATATTTCGCCAATACGCTAAATATAAACTGCTAAGGCATTCCGTTTGGCAGTCGATTTATCACTTCTAAATTTACAGCTAAAAATATAAGGTAAAAGTTTGGCCAGTAACTCGAGGCGATATCGGCCGTCCGGGAATCAATGATGAATGACCAATCTCCCTAAAGGTTTAAACGGTCCAAGTTTACTTCCTTATCCGGTGATTATGAGACAGGAACTTTGCGTTTCCCAACTTAAATAACTTGCAACTTACTTGTAGACGGCGAAATATGGCAAAGCACACAATTTTTTTTACGTTTCTACTTTATCTGGATTTTTTGATTTACGAATAGGTACACAATTAATTTAGTAGTGTTAGATATAAAGCATATTAATGCATTAATTAATTGAGTGAAAGTTTCTCAAGATAGGGAGGACTTCTACTCTTTAAATACTGACAGCTCTTAAGTTATGAATACAAAGAAAACATGCGGTCTGTAGAATTTAAATACGTAACTTAGTCGTTTAGAAAACATTAACAGAATTATTAACATTTCTTTGAATTGAACTGAACTTGAACATAGAATGATTTGAATTAACAATACAAATAGAGATAATTAGTTCAATGTTCAGTCGGTCGAATTTAATTGGTTAATTTACAAGAAAACCATCATCTATTCCCTATGCTTCCGCTAATTAAGCAGCATTTAATGTATACTAGTAACACTAAATTGATCACTGACAATACAAGACGAAGACTCCCACGTCTCCAATGAAATAACCAAAGTCAGTGAGAGTAAAGTCTTCTGATTTATTGTAACAAGAGTATACTGGAAATTTTGAAAACAAGTCGCGGGGTCTATGCGAAATTTGGGGAGGGAGGTGTCACTGAGTATTAAAAATTGATACGTTCTACTTAAAAAACGGTATTATCCAAAATAGTACACAATAAAATCGACCGGTTACACATGCATAATGATTTTATCAAAAAACTGCAAGTTTAATTTTTTTAATAGAAAGGACTTACTGTTCTCAATTTAAATACTCTCCCACCAGCCAGCGATGATTCGTTCAGTAAGTCAAAAGTTATTTCGTATTGTTCGCCGCTATGTCTATTGACAATGGGCAAAAAAACACACCAAACGGGCACAAACATTACAAACGATGCAGCCAAAATATTTTCGTACGTCTAAATAGAGCTGTGATTGAACGGACTGTTTTCATTCGCTCGCCGCGAATGAGTTCAGCGCGGCGGAAAAACCATTCGTTAGGATGGGAAATATTACTGTGACCGCTGCCGGATATTACAATGAATCTGGAATGGCTTGTAGAGTTTATGGATTTAAACTGCGCGCCGCTGTATGTTAGTTTCGTTTTGAAGCTTGGTAGTGCGAAAAAAACGAGTTACGGTTGGGATAACCGTAACTTGTTTTCGATGCTTAAATTCCGTAATACATCCATATTACGGAATTTAAGCATCAAAGTAGCAACACGCATGTATTACGGAATTTAAACGTCATCATCGCATTGTCACTTCTGGCATTCCGTTGGGTAACGCTTTCTTATTACCAGATTGTTTTTCTGTGAAGATTTGCAAGCGAAGCTGTCCAGGTCTAAGTGATTACGCCCCCTTTTAAATATGTAACACCAGAGGTATCTCGTTGTCAAC